ACAATGCAAATTGGCAGTTTGCTCAAGACGATTGGCCAACCGAGAACAAACGAAAAAGAACAACAACAAGCGGTTCTTAATTGTGGTTTAATTCAAATTGTGAAATACCCCTCGGGAATCCTTAAACGGTTCGTGATTAGCGAAAAACATAGAGATAAAAAGCCTAATTGGTGATATCTGGACGCAGGAAATGCCACGTTGTTGAGCCAACTGACATGTCTCAAAACAAAACTGCATTTGCGTCGATTTATATAAACAAAAACTGATTTTCTTAAATTTAAAATTGTTTTAATGGAAAAGAACCACCAATGAAAGAAGAGATATCCATCCTCCCAAGCGATAACGTCTAATTATCTAAAATCCATAGGTGTGATGAATTTTCAAGTGGTCCTAATATATATGATATATATATATGGTATACAGATATATACAGATTTATGACTTAATTTGGAACTTTGGGCTATAACGAAAACGTATAATTGGCGTCTAACACATGAAAATTTGGCAGAAATGTAAGGAATTAGTGTCTTCTTGCCTCTCCCTGCTTATATCCCCGTCATCGCGCTGCATATATACAGATTATTTTTAGTTTGTGTTGGTTTAAAGGAAAAGAATTACCAATGAAAGAAGAGATTATTTATTTATTATCCTCTTAAGGGTTGTAGTAACGTCTAATTTTCTAAAATCCAGAAGCGTGAAAAATTTTTAAGTGGCACAGGTATTCTACACTCAAAATGGAACCAAAAAGTCTAACTATGGTCCGAATCTCCGCAGTTTCGGAGTTATTCCACTTTTTCTGTTATTTTAACATTTCACTACCTTGCTTCAAATAAACAATGATAACTCCAAAACTAAAAGGTTTTGAAAAGATCTGTTGATACCATTGAAAACTACGTTAAATTTTCAATAAGATATGATCAATACTAAACCAGTAAACTTTCGTGAAATAACGTTTGAGTAGCCAGAACTTTGAAAAAAAAATTTTTTTTCAAAGTTGATAAATTTACTAAGGTGATTCTAAACTACTATTTCCAAACCTATAGACCAGCAAATTTCAGAAGACGTACTGCATTTAATATCCTTTTTAGTAGTTTAAAAAAGCTTTTTTAATTACTTTTTTCAAAGATGAAGAAATTGATGAAGGAAAGGAAAAAACTCGTGGTTGAAGGATTGGTAAGGTGGAACGATTAATAATACTAAAAAATAAAAAACGAAATTTTTAATGGAATTGATACATTTTTTTAAAACCTTCCGCAATGTATTTTCGACTCGCTGCCATCGCATTAAACCCGCAAAACCCGTATATAAGATGTATAGCAGAGTATTCTTCATTGGTAAAAGTAGCCATAGTATTAGCAAAATATCACATAGATAACTAAAAACGTTTTGAATCTTAAATCTCTTTTATTCCGGTAAACGGACGGTATGAAGAAGCCTAGACAGTCCACCAACTAAGCCTCTCATCATTCCGCGGGCCAATCGGAGGCTTAAGATAAAGAGAACTTGAAGAACTTGAGAAATAAAGAGAATTGAATTTTAATAAGAATTTTTAATTGACTAATTTTGAATAAGAAAATAAAATAAATTCCGCTTCGGCGTAAACATACCGCCCACCAAATTTGATAAAACTTCATTGTGGAAAGAAAAATGAACAAAGAGATAATACTACTTGTGGCTTCTAACGTTAAACGAGAGAAAAAAGTTACTTGCGATTAAGAAAATAATATAAAAGAAAACAATTATTCACAAAGACTATGTAGGGTGTGTGTGGTTTACTTAAAGATGGATAGCCAAGAGTGAACGAATAAACAGTTTGAAGAGACCTCCTTTTGTTAGTACAGTAACCACTCGAGTTACGTCGTCATCGCCAGTATGGAGGAGGCTTTGGACGCGACCTATCGGCCACGACAGTGGGGAGGTGTTGATTTCCTTCACAAAACGACGTCACCTACCCGAATTTAGATTGTGGGCTTCTCCACTTATTAGGTTGCATCAAGGAATTCATGTACTGTTGCGACCATAATTACCAAATGTTTGGCTCAATTGATTCACCCTATGTCACTGGCGTGAGAGGTGATATCCGTCGGTGCCATGCTTTCGGCAACTGCTAAGAGAGGCCTTCCAACAAGGAAATGTCCCGGTGATAGATAGTCTGAATAATCATCAGCATCCGGAAGAGAGCATAAGGGACTACTATTGAGGAGAGCCTCAATTTTTATGAACAGAGACGAATACTTCTCAAAAGCAAGTGAGGATTCCCCAATAACAGAATACAGTAATTTTTATGTCGATTTTATAATAGACTCCCAAAGTCCACCAAAGTTAGGGGCATAAGAAGGGTTGAAGTGCCATTCAATACCCTTGGACGTCGCTCTAACTATATATTTGTATTTAGAGAGATTTATTTATGAGTTCGAAGCTTGCGGCAATTTGATCAAAAACAGCACATAATTGGCGTTTGAGACATTAAGAGTTGGCAGAAATTTAAAGAGTCAGCGGCCCCTCTCTCTGCTGTAAGGAATTGTCTTGCCTCTCCCTGCTTATAACCCTGCCATGGCTAATCGATAAATATGTAGAATAATTGTTGTGTTTGGAGCTCACGGCAAAAGCACATCAACAGATCACATAATTGGCATTTCGGCACAGAATTATTTTCTGAGATAATAAGAGCTAGCAGAAATGTAAGGACTCACCGCCTCGCCTCTCCCTGCTTATAACTCTTATGTCGCAGTAGATATATAAGGATTTATTTCTGAATTTGAAGCTTGCAGCAATAACAAAAAATCATAATAGGCGTCTAAGATGTAAAAAATTGTTAGAAATTTAAGAAATGAGTGTCGCGCCTCTCCCTGCTTATATCCCTATCGTCTTGCCAGATATTCAGATTGGTTAGGGGTTGGGTTAGGTGAAGTTAGGGGATGGGCTCGGAGCTGAGAAAATATGTGAGTGAATTTCATTTATTTGTCTGCCTTCAAATAATTATATGTATTATCTAATTTGTTTATATGAATTTGTTTTTATAATAAAGGAAATTTTTTATACTGTAACTTACTCCTTGCTGGGATAGAATTTTAATGATTAAAAAAAATTATATATAAAAAAATACTAAAAACAAAGCTTTGCTATTTAAATCTGATAATCCGGCGCATTTCAAAATTTCGAACACGTTTTACACCGTTGGCTAATTTTCCAAAAAAAAATATCATTTATATTCCAGGCACAGGAGTGTAAAGAAAAAACAAAAAAATATTCGAATTTAATATAATCCGGGGATAAAATGTCAACTGCGTTGTGAAATTTTCTCTCTCGGGCTTTTGATTTTATCCTACTGCACCTATTTCAACCGTTTATCATGATTAATGCCCATGATTATGATTTCCCTCCGGCTGGATTCCAGAGAGTCATTTCCGCAGTCGATACTTTCTCCTGATCGAATTTTCCTCTTTTAGAATGATTTTTCGAATAGCAAGTAGAAAGTCGTCGCATTATTGTCGGATTAAACTTTAGAATGCCTAGGTCTGATATAGACTTAATTTATAACCAGGTTGTTAGAAACTTTCAAAAGAGAATATGTTTGAAGAATCTCGAATTTGTTTTAAATATAGTTAACCTAGTATAAACTTCTGTTGCAGTTTAACATCGTATTCAACGGCTTAATATAATTTTTGGAATTTTATAATATATATTTTATTTTTAATTAATAATGAAACATCTCAGCGTTTCACCTCTCCCTGCTTATAACTCTGACTCTGCCCCTCCCAATACGATATTTTCTATCGTCACTGCATTTCGTACTCAATCGTATATTTATTGCTTTCATTACTGGAAAACTGAAAAAGAATTGCGACTAATACGTGAAAAGTAAAAATGTAAGGAATTTGACTCTCCCTGCGTATACCCTTGACCTCGCGTCAAATATACACACAGTAATAATTCCAAGTTTGGAGGTTGCGGCGAGAACGAAAAAAATCACATAATTGACGTCTAACGCAGACAGAGTTGAAATTTAAGGAATCAACGCCTCGCCTCTCCCTGCTTATAACCCTGACATCACGCCAGGTATATATACAGATTTCTTTCAGAGTTTGGGGCTTGCGATAATAACATAATTAGCGTTCCGGCAAATAATTTGCGTCGGATTTGTGAGTCTTGGCAGAAAAGTCAGCATTTAGCGGCGCGCCTCTCCCTGCTTATAACCCTAATGTCAAGCCATCTGACTACGGACTTTATTATTGTTAATAAGAATAAAATGCTTTCTCAAATTAGATAAATAATGTTGTAAATTATGGTTTATGTTGTGTGCCTGTTATCCTACTTTTCATAAGATTTTAAAAGTTTTGTTTACTGTTTTTAAAAACGGATTGTATTTACGATTTTAATTCCTCTACAGTAAGATTCATAAATGTTTTCTAAAGTCAGAATAAACTTTCTTTAAGGGTTATGTTTCAAGGTGAAGATATTATACGTCTTTCTCGCTGAGTATCATTTTGAATAATTTATCATTTTCCTTCTTTTTTTTATGTAACGCAATTTCATTATTTTTTCTCTCAAACCGCGCTTAGATCATTATATTTTATTACATCCGTGCGGTTTTGTCACGGGATGGGATCCTTCTGCATCAGGGAGAGGACAGGCCTTGAAGAGCTGGGCACGGTCGATGCTCATAGGCCGTCGAGAGAAAAACAAACAAAATCCCGTCCGTTCTCACTTTCTAAAAAAGCCCCCCCCCCCAAGCCGAGCTTGAGCCGGTGCTTGGGACAAAAGTAAAAATCGTACCACTGAGTTGCGTCATACGAGCACTATTTACCAAGTGAGAAAGAACGGTGGGAAAAAGTGAAAATTCCTCCCAATTAACATCACGTACGCTCCGGGACAGAAACTTTCACTCTTGGAATATATAAATATATAAATTAGAAAAAAGAAGAACATGCATTTTTCTTTTGCCTTAAATCTAATTTTAAACAAGACCCGAAGCATATTTCATAAATGAAATGATTTACCTTATGTGTCAGCTTACATATCGCTCATTTTTCACGGGCTTCCTGAAAAATAAATGTCACCATAAATAACTTTCAACAAAAAACTGTGCGTTTCTTAATTATAACAAATAAACATAATTAGCGTCTGAGACAGTAAGAGTTGACTAAAATTTAAGAAGTCAGCGCCCCGCCTCTCCATGCTGATAACCCTGACTTCACGCCAGATATACAAATGCACTATTAATTCTAAGTTTGGAGCTTGCGACATTAGGTCATTAAGGAAAAGATAATATAATTGGCGTCTGACATAGGCAAAGATGACAGAAATGTAAAGAATCAGTGCCACACATCTCCCTGCTTATAACCCTGACGTCTAGGCATATCCCTATTTAGATTAATTTCTGAGTTGCGACAATTAAAAAATAAAACTAAATGACAAATCATATAACTACCGTCTGACAAAGGCAGGCTTGGGAAAAATTTAAAGAATCAGCGTTTCGCCTCCCCCCACTTATAACCCTGACTTTGCAATATAAATATACAGAACTATTTCTGAGTTTTGAGCTTGCGAAATTAACATGACAAACACCAGATCACATAATTGATGTGTAAGACAAGTAAAGTTGGCAGAAATGCAAGAAGTCAGCGCCTCGCCCTGCTTACAACCCTGACGTGTCATAACAAATAAATATAATTGGCGTAAACAATAATAATGAAAGGCTACATTAACAATTCTTCATTTAAGGCAAATTTTTAAATATAAAAATAATCAAATATCAATTAAAACGTTTATTTTCTCTCTCTCTCTCTCTCTCTCTCTCTCTCTCTCCACAATCTGAATGGCCGATCCTATCAAAATTTTACTTTCAGTAAAAATAAGCTCCAGAATCGAATTGTACAATACAAATATGGGATTATTATTTAAAATAACAAAGTTAGTGACATTTCCCAGCTGTCAGATGAAAAAGTTATGTTAAATCTGTTACCACCTTACGATTACTAGCGAAAATTAACTTGGGGTTTGAATAAAACCGTTTTTTAATGGGTGGATTATAGAAGTTGATAAACCCTGTATAATTAGAAAGTTAAAATACTTATAATAAATAATATGATGTAATAAAACAAACTTATAATAAAATACTTATAATAAATACAAGAATTAAACGTCCTCCGTACCCATCTACCACCCAACCTTTTCATTTTCTATTCTGATCTAACTATATATTTACTGATTTCACTTCCTATACATTTACATACCAAAGTGTCTACCAATCAAGCATAATACTTAGAACCTTCACTTCCTTCATACTCACCAACCAACTAACTTTATAAAATAAATTCTTATGTCTTTTCAGTTAAATATTTGACTCTGTACATATCCATCAACCAAATAACTTAATTTTTCAGCTTCCTTCCATTCCTTTAGATTTCATCATATACTGTGGTATGTACTTTACTCCCTAATACGTACCACAAAACAAGGTAATTTCGTAACTTCATAACGTTATACCAGATAGCCTTACTTCTTAGAAACGACCTAATTATGCACGTAAGACCTTCATTTCATACATACCCACCAAACGTCTTAATCTTCTCATTTTGTATGTAGGAACTTCACTTTATACACACTTACAAGCTTGAGTATCTACCAATCAATTAATTAATAATTCTTAGGAACATCACTTCTTACACGCCCACCTACTAACCAACTAATCAAGAATCTTAACTCCCTAACTTAATACTTAGGAATCTCAATTTCATACCAACATACTGTAACTCTCTAATTTTATATATAGGAACTTCACTTTGTACAAACTTACAGGCCTATATATATATCTACCAACCAATTACCTAATACTTAGAAACTTCACTTCTTACTATCGAACTAATTAAACGTCTTAACTCCAAAACTTAATTATTAGGAACTTCACTTCTTACTAACGAAATAAGTAAACGTCTTAACTCCCTTACTTAATTATTAGGAACTTCGCTTCTTACTAACGAAATAAGTAAACGTCTTAACTCCCTTACTTAATTATTAGGAACTTCACTTCTTACTAACGAACTAATTAAACGTCTTAACTACCTTCCTTAATACTTAGGAACTTCGCTTCTTACTAACGAACTAATTAAACGTCTTAACTCCCTTACATAATACTTAAGAACTTCGCTTCTTACAAACGAACTAATTAAACGTCTTAACTCCCTTACTTAATACTTAGGAACTTCTCTGACTCCACATTTACCAACAAAATACTACCAATCAACTACTTAATACTTGGAAACTACACTTACATACCAACATATCTCAACTTTCTGATTTTATATCTAGGAACTTCACTTTGTACACATGTACAAGCCTATATATATCTACCAATCAATTGCCTTCATTTCTTACTAACGAAATAGGTAAACGTCTTAATAATCCCAACTTAATACTTAGGAAATTGTCTGACTACACATTTACCAACAAAAGACCATCAATCAAATACTTACCCCTTAGAAACTTCACTTTCTAACATACCAACATTCCTTAATTTTCAAACTTTATATTAGAAAATTCACATCCTACACATTTACAAACCAAAGTTCTACCAATCATTTGGCATAATACTTAGGAACTTTACTTCTTACATATCACCTACTAACCAATTAATCAAACGGTTTAACTCCCTAACGTAATACTTAGGAACTTCTTTGATTAAACACTTCCCAACAAATACTCTACCGATCAACTGCTTAACACCTAGGAACTTTACTTCTTACATTTCACCTACTAACCAATTAATCAAACGGTTTAACTCCCTAACGTAATACTTAGGAACTTCTTTGATTACACACTTCCCAACAAATACTCTACCGATCAACTGCTTAACACCTAGGAACTTCACTTACATATCAACATACCTTGCCTTTCTTATTTTATATCTATTGTAGGAACTTCACTTTGTACACACAAACAAGCCTAAGTATCTGCCAATCAATTACTTAATACTTAGGAACTTCACTACTTACATACCACCTACCAACCTACTAATCAAACGTCTTTACTCCCTAAGGAACTTCTCTGACCATACTTACCAACAAAAGACTACCAATCAGCTACTTAACACATAGGAACTTCACTTCCTACATACAAGCAAACCTAACTTTCTAACTTTATTTTAAAAAATTCACATCCTACACATTCACCATAAACCAAAGTTCTACCAGTCAATTAGCATAACACTTAGAAACTTCACTTTCTACAAACATTCCTTCACATTACTACAAATTTAGTATCTTCGCTTCGTACATACTTACCAAACAATTGAACTCATATTTTTTTCAGCTACGAACCAAGAATCTTCTTGACTATTTAATGTACTAAGAAAATTCACTTGCTATATCCAAATTTTTACAGTACAATTTCAATTTTTAACTTCGTTAACATACTGTACGTGTAGACTCCTAATTATTAACTAGTATTGTACCTTAGTTACATCAAATCCAAGGACGCACTGAAATCGTATTGTAGAATTATGAAATTATTTAAATTGCTGATGTTTAGAATGCTGGTAGTAGTAGTAGTTCATTAGAGTTAGGGCAAATTTGAGGTTTAATTATTTTCTGCTAATGACCACGAAAAGTGGACATGTTCTCAACGCCATGAGAGGAAGTGGCAAATTTGAAAAGATTACATGTCATTTATGAAATCGACACGAGATCCGCTTGTAGAGCGGTCTTCCTTGGCGTGATTGACCCTCAAAAAGAAGCATTTTTCCCTTCTTCCTTTCTAATTAACCCCTGGGAGACGGAAGAACGGCAAAACCGTGCGTGATCTGCTCCTTGAACTCTTTTCGGCTTCCCATTGACATCGGGGGAACGGGCGAAATACAAGTCACGAGCGGCCACCCCGCCCGGGCCGACTCGGCAGATCTTTCTCAATTACGTTTCCCAACCCGGCCCCGGTTGAAATATTAACGATTCTGGCCTCCCTGGACCGGGGGCCGTTGTAAAGGTCTACTCTTTGTCTACGGTTTCGTGCTAGAATTCCGTTAACTTAATTCACGACTCGCATTGCCTCAAATCCGCCCTTCCTTTGGAAGCATTCGTCTTTTAAAGAGGTTTTATGGCATTCTCCTTATAATGGGTCTTATTCCATCTAGTCCGGATAGATAAAAGCAATATGCACCTTTACATTCTAACTCGAAGCACAGTCCTGACTTAACGAAACGAAAGCAGTTAACAATACAAAAATTATCTTCCGAATTACCATCTTACATCCCTTCTTAAGAATAAGAAAAAGAAAATCTGGCAAAAAGAGGGAAAATTCGAACATAGGTTGAGATGGGAAGATGATGTCCGAGGGGATCGAAGCCATGATAGCTCAAGTGGTAAGAACAGCGGTGTATTGAGCCAAAAGGTCGTGGGTTCGAATCCCGCTCGTGACACTTATTTTTCATCTCAACTATAAACCATAGATAAAAAGTATAATAGGGAGGTCTACTGCACCTGGACTTGAATAGTCTTTTGTGCTCTCTTGTTATTTATAACTCACTGGCCAACTTCAGGTTATTAATCAGCCTCCATAGCTTTGCCATCGGCTCCTTAGTGTAGGATCATGCTTGTGGTTTTTCTTGTCCTAGTTGCAAGAACCTACACCTACATAGACTCTTAGAAATATAGAATGTGTTCTGCGGTCTCCTCCTCATCCTGGCAGTATCTGTCTGTACACCCATCCGATGCTTGTGCCTTCTTAAGTGGCAGTGCCCTGACAGGAGTCCAACCACAATCCTGGTTCGGTTGCGGTTGCCTTCCAGTAGTTGTTTTGTATATTTTGCGGATGGTCCTTCTATGAATCTCTTTGCGTACATCATATCTGTGATACTACCAGGTTTTGAACTCATTAAGGGTTTTAAAATATATTTTCTTTTGTGGCAAGATGCTAAGCCACAGTAGGGTTTAGGACCCAGAAAGTCCGTGTTGGACCCCTTTTTGCGCAACATGTCAACCTGTCTGCATGGATAGGCCATGTAAATAAACAATGGAAACTGAGGGAGGAGATACAGGCAGATGCCATA